AGCCTTTGGTAAGGCGTTACCTATGTACACCCAGCAAGCCCTACCCTTACTACTTCCCATCTCACTTCCACCGCCTTATAATTACCTTTTTCACTCATCGACGATATGCTAATGCTATGGTAAATTCAATCGGTGCTCGGTGTGTAGCTGGAGCAGGCATAAAGAATTCCCTGGTACTCTCTGGACCTTTCATGAAGTTCTTGAATTTCGGGTTACGGTGTGGTCAGTGCCGTTTCGATATCTACTGGAACTCAAGCAGGTTGTGTAAGCGTTGAGGTTCTGGACGGACCAAACGGGAGTGAATCATTCGAAAGCGCTTTTTTTTCAACGAAATCCCCTCCTAAACTTTGTTTTTTCTACTTTTACTACGCAATTCAACCCTAGTCCTCAAATCGAAGCCAGCAACATTGATCGGCTACCTCCCGATAATTTCCCAATTCACTTTTCCAACAAGAGGTGATGCGTTCATTCTGGTAATGAAACCCCATGAGAGAAAATTGTTACCTATACATTCAAGATTGACAAGTGCTTCATTCGCATTCTTGACTAACTGGTTTTCTTACTCGGAGAGACTCGAAGTTACTCAGAGAGAAGCCGGTGCACTCCACCATCTACTGGCTTTAAACTGTTCCATTCTTTATTTGGCGGCTCCCACACTCATGGTCATTTACAATTAAGCGTGCATTTACATTTATCTTGTCCACAAATCTTCTAGCATGCCCTTGCGTGGCTCTCTCTGAATGCTCCGCTTTCCAGATGAAGCCTACACTCCTGCATTTTCTCCAGCTAATCCGTTCTGCTAGCATTGGGACGAACTTATTCCTTTAACTGCTCCCAACAAGTGATAATCACCACGAATTGCAGGGTGTACTCATCAGGGAAGATTCGGAAGGTCATTTGAAATGAGACTTATTCTGCTAGACGTGATTTTGGATGCTGATCTCAGACCTACTCTCCAAATTTGTAGAATCCTGCCATTCTAAGGGAATTTTCTCTTCTAGACCTAGAAATTTACTTTCAAGTTAATTTTATCGTGTTCTATGCCCTTTTGATCTTTTGATGACAGCCTTCTAACCTAGGACATGCAATATTGCTTCCACTTTTTTCGCATGTTCCATCACGCTATATTCACAGTAGGATGACTTTTATTACCTGATAAACCCGAGTGATGCACGAAATATTTGGGATAAAAAAGTTTCCACAATGGAGACGACGAATAGAAAGGAACTCGTTCTCTTCGCGTTGTCTTATCAAATCAGAAGGAAGCCACAGTTGTGTAGATGCCTAAAAATCACATGGTAGTGCTTAGGTATCTTACGGCGTGTCATGATTAAAAGGGAAAACACTTAATCTAACAGAAAGAACTGAAAATAGGCTAGTGCCAGAAAGCCAGGTCGCGAGTGCATAAGCAAAAGTTGAGTTCGGCAACTATCATGCATGAGGCGATGATCCGTTTTTGAACAGCAGCAATTAATGAACATCTAGGACCGGCTGCAACAGCTTGTTGTACGACCAGGAATATTCATTTACCTCACCCATGGAGGTAAAGTGGACTGAATAGCTTCAAAATCTTTGAATGCTATTTGTATGACCGCTGACGCCCTCGTTTTTGATACTGTACAGTCGGTTCTAACCGTTGGCCCGTCTCATCACTCTCTTTTGTGCTGAGTGAAGTTGCCTTTCGTGATTCTTGCCTGTAGGCCAGCATTCGCTAGAGTATCGCCGCCCTCATAAGAGCCCTATAAAACTTTCTTTTGGGCCTCCTGGAATACCGTCGATCACAAAGTTCTCCACTCTTTCGACCCCGTCCTTTTCCACCAAAACTCTCAAGCCGTTTATGCAGCTTGTCCTGGAGCTTTTCCTGACTCTCTGGTACCATGGCGATGCCATCAGCGTAGAGGATGGTCTTCAACGGTCCACCCATAAGTTCTTTCGTGATGACATCCAATGATATTAGAGAGAAGAACCGGCTCAGGGCTAATCCTTCATGTACCCGATTCGTGACGTCTACGACTCTTACTAAGCCATGACGAGTGCAAATTTTTGTGTTGAACCTCTGTGTCCTTGATCAAGGGGATCAGGTGTTTCAGACCAGCGCGTTTCATAGGATCGGTCAAACGCCTTCTCCAATACGAGGAACGTTGGTTAGCAGGGTCTAGTTAGTGTTAACAGTGGACGAAGAAGATATTCACTATCTCCTTTCGAGTCTCCCAAGCTACTCTATTGGATGGGCTATTGAATTCTTTGGTTATCTGCTGCTTTTCGACTTTGACGGACTTCGATCTTCCTAACTTGTCCATCCCATGCTATAGAGGAAGGTTGGGAAAGAAGGCTCAAGATCTTTCTCGCATATCTTTACCTTTCCTCTCAATAAAATAGGCTGTGCAACAAAATTAGTTGTCTTCTGCTAGTGCTTGGTCTCGGAAGCAATGCGAAAAAATCGTATAAATAAGAGCCGCCCGTTTTTTAGAATTTGACTTTACAACGAAGGGTCGAACACGACATCGACGGCGGAATCAGTAGATATTGGGGTTCAAAGATGATTACTAACTTTGCTGAATATCATTGACAACTACGCGGTGTTTATTTCAAGGTTATCCCACGAAACCTGTTCGGTTAATTGTGCACTAAAACAGTACGATTACCTGAACAAAATGAAAATGAAATATGAGAAAGTTCAACTGATGTTCTAATGTAACTAAGTTTAATTCAATTTACTGTCTCCTCTATTGCTTGTGATGGACAAAATTATTGAACAGATCTCATCAGAAACAGAAGTGAATGAGGGGGGGGGGGGGGGGGANGGGGGGGGGGGGGGGGGGGGCGAAGGTCATAGAAAGAGAAGAACCTTTACCTACGCATTGAGCATCAAGTACGTCACTACAAATTCGAGAAAAAAAAAACCTTATTTGTGAAAGATCTCTACCTGGAAAGATGAGGAAAGGGCAGTAGCAGAAGGAATGGAACGGAAGCGAATCATCTACTTTCAAGGTCCCTCCTAAAATCTACACAACAGGACACAAAGATCATCGACAGTAGCGGGGTACGCCTCGCACCGGTACCTGCGCTGTAACGACAGGCACTGGAGCGATGAGAGTGAGTTCAGAAAGTACAAGACTACCCAGTGAAACGAGGAGATAAACTAGTGGTGAAACAATAGAAGATATACGAGCACTGGCAAGGGACAAGAAGCTCAGAAGACCTTGCCAACGATAAAAGATGAAAAGGTTCGCTTAGCGGTCTTATTGTTGGCTAAAAATGACGTGAAGCACCGCATTCTTTTCCAGTCCGGAAAGAGTCGCACTCCAGTGTGTCACAGACAGCGAGATCAAGGTACTAGGCGCATTCTATATAACGTATGCAAATAGGATGACTAGAAAGGTAGATATTCATCTATATTCCCTCGAACCCGCACTAGTAACGTCTCTAAAAGTCCCTAACGCGAGCCGGAATGGTCCAGGGCATCCCTGCTTGAGGGAAACGAGGCAAAGCACTCCCTTGGCGAGAACTTTCTGGAAGAAGTTTGATCATCGGACTGGCCACAATCATGGTGTTGTTTGACGTCCCGATGGATCCAGTCAGCGCCTTTCCTGGTCCAACAGTCACCACAAAATCGCATGAATCGTGCGGCCCACCTGATCTTCGAGCCTTTGGCATAAGCAACAATGACCCCGAACTTCATTCGTTCTTCTCACGGAGCTTCCCTAGCCAAATTTTGGCAATCTGCCAACGTATATTCTGGAGACTGCCACCCAGGCGTATGAGGCAACTGATGACTCCATACCCGTTTTGACAACACATCCGAACAGGTTAACTGGGCCCATATGGGAACCTACCAGAATAGACGAGTTTCAACAGTTTCGCGCTTATATTACTCTATTACGTGGAACGACATTATTTAACTGGAATTAGATTATTTCTATTAGAGCTTGTTTCCTACATGCGGGTAATTTACAATTAAGCCACTCCCAAAGCTATGGAAACATTACTCTTACCCAATCCCGTTTTTTGACCATTTTTTGCATCCCAGGATCCAGAATGTTTCCCGTTTCATTGAAAAATCTCTACTTTTTACCCTTGCACGGTGATCTCCGTCGGATACTATTTACTCTTCATTCCTCTCGACTTGCTATTTACTTTTTCACACTTTTTTCCACTTGAAAAGCTGTCAGTTCGTTCAAAAAGTGAAGGTTCGGGATCGTTTCATGGTTCTAATGCATTTTGCTAAATATCATATTGCAATACTTCTTTTTTTTTGCTAATTCAATGAGATCCACGGTTACGTGTTCACACCTCAACTGATAATTTTTGAGGCTGTTACCTTATACCTCCCAGACCAGAGAGATTCTATCGGTTACGTTGCAACCGATACAAACCCATGTGATTTTATTCACATCTAGAGAGGGTAGTAATTGTTAATAATTGGTAAAGTAATAGGTAACTTCATTCTGAAATATGTAGTTAAGAATTTACGCCTCAGGATGGGATCGGTACTGACGGTTAGTTTCTTGTAGCTGGTTGTTCTATTATACGAGCTGTCTAGCACGGGATAGGGTTACCGACCATGAAATCCAGTGGAAACGAGAGAAAGCAGTGTAGCGTAATGGACCACATGCGACTATCGAAATGCAAGAGGAACTACAAATAACGGTAGTAATCGGTCTGAGAGTTAGGCTGATTGTGAGTCGAATGTGTCTGATTGAACAATTGTTCAAGAGCATAAGTACTATTCGAAACAAATGTTCGAATTGCACAAGTGAGAGGAACTGTATTTGCTACCACTCTCCTCCTCTCGAGTGAGCACCTGCGAATTGTTCGATTAAAACGCTTTTCTTGTTTTTTGGAGAACTTCAATTGAAATTTTCAGATGACGAATTGGTTCGAATACGAATCAGGGCATGCATGGTGTGAAAGCGCCTACAAATATCAGACCTTGCCCATGGTAGCCGAATTCGCTAATACGGTATGCTATCGGATTTTTATTCATGATGTCCTCTGGATTCGAATAACTTTGGTTTCTTATGCCAGAACAGTCATTCATGTTTCCTTCCTTTTTGCTGCTATCAAGGTTGGCTGTTGGCTCGTTCATATCTATGCAGGGTTATTCAGAACTGCAGCAGCTAGTCTAAAGCGCTCATTCCTTTTTTATGAATTAGCAACTCCAAACCACTTTCAACAATTTGTTCGACCACTAATTGGAAACGCTGGGCAATTGGAGCGCTTGATTCATCAGAGATTTAGCAGAAAGAAAAGAAACAGGAGGCACTCTATAATAAGCCAAGGCTTATTGTTAGACCAAACATGGAAACTGTTCGCAAAAAACCAACAATTATGTGTAAGGAAGCGATGCGCCATGCTTTCTGCACCTTATCGTGGAATAGCAGTGATAGTAGTGTTCGTATGACCATAGGCTGCATGCAGGTGGCAATAAGCACTTTTTCAAAGAGCCTTTCTTTTCTGCAAAAACTTGAAGGCTTCTAGCCATTCCGCCCTTGAATTGACAGTGAAGACAGCGTCTCAGATCACCTGTAGTTCTCAAAGATAATGCCCTTCCGCGACCTTTGCGGAGTAAAGGCATGGTGGATGGCATAATTTGGCCCTAGTCGAACTGTACTGATTGGAAAGGGTTGTGAGAAGTGTGACTCCAGAGAACGAACCAGTAATGTTCATGAGGCCCCACTTTAACTGCACGCTGCTATGTATGATATATAACAGTCATTTTAGATGGGATCTTCCCATCAGTTTCAATGATACTCATAGTTCGGAGAGACCATACGAAAGCAGTCCAGTCATTGCCACTTACCAGTTAGAGCTCGCGATTAGTTATTCAGGGAGAACGACCCACATAAACAGGTTGATGAAGAGATCTGTGGACAAGGACCAGTCAACGAATAGCCAAGACCATGAAGTCTCGAGCAAGGTGCGAAGACACACCATAACGTTCTGGGGAGGGGGTGGGGGGGGGGGGGGGGGCACGTTTTCAGGAACTGCGTGGGGCTTAAAACCCACCAACGTGAGCCACTAATTTTGATCGGATACAGGTCAGCGTTCTTCTTCATGAAGTGGTTTGGTCACATCACAATCACATCACAATCACATCTATTGCCAGCTTTTATATGATAAATCCCTTCTGTAAATCATAGCTTACGTCCATTGCTGTCAGAGTTGACTTGATTTATCAATTTCGCATATTTCTCAATTTTTTTCTTCTTGAGAGTTCCAGAAAATCATTTCCAACGAATAATTTCAGATGACTAACCTTCCGATTATTGTTTTGCCGATGTTAAATGCCATGATGTTACGACGGTACATTAGAGAGGTAAGATAACTTTTGACGCCTTGGTTTCCTGTGCACTGTATGATTTGTTTGCCTCTATTACTCTGCCAAGAACTCTTATGATTTCGGCTCATGAACTTTTACTCCTTCTCTTCCTACTACTATAATAGCAAGGGGAAGTACAGTTCACGATAAAAATGGTTTCTGACATTCCTCCACAGGATGAATTTGGAGCCTCCGCGTATACCATTTCTGGCACTATTAAGTCGGAAAATGGCCTAGATAGGGAGTTAAAAGGCTCAAATATTGGCCCGTGTGTATCCTCGGACAAGTTTCACCGGCATTGTAGAGGCTACACCGATCACAGGGAAACCCATGAAGGAAGTTCAAAAAATTTGTCATGACCCATAACGACAGTGAAAGACACTTCTGTACAATTTTGGCCTGACGTAGTCAGCTCTTTGCGCAATAACAACGACTGAAATCTCGTTCGGATGCCCCATTCATGTTATTTTTGTCATGGCAACCTCGTCCGACCTCGATTTTCCCTACTTTTGAAGAGCCATATTTTTCTCGAAGTTGGCGAATTCTCTCGCTTTGTTCACTACCGATGAACTGTTTCCAATCTATTCGTCCGCTTCTCGAATGAAAACGGGTACCTCAGAATTATCGTGAACTGTGCCTTTAAATTCCCCTAAACAATCATCAAAAACAAGCACTAAATGAAGTAATTCAGGTGAACCCTGGTCTACTCATACCTCAGCTGCTTCTCTCATTCAATGGATTGGCCTCCACATATTATCATGCGACTTTGAATCTGTTTGGTGGGTCAATTATTGACTTCGCTTATTTTTGGATCCTTTTAGTCAGATTTGTCTCTGGTGACATGGAGTTATTGTGACATTTATTGCGGAATTTTCTTGAATGGCAATCTCTATAAGTCTGCACTTGTTGAATGACAGAAAAGCGAGAGTGTTGCTCTGTAATCAGTACTGTAAAGTAGTCGTTGAAACTTAACGAGAACATTAGTTCTTCTACCAAAACTTCTCTCAACCAACAAACAACCAACGAATATCAAAGGGCAACGTACTTGCTCTGTAAGGTCAGACCTGTTATCAAGTTGCAGGGGTCTTTTCACCGAGCTCGGCAGAATCAAAGGGCAACTTTTCGCTAATCTGAGCATGGATGCTTTCAAGGATGTTTTTCATAGTGCATGAAATTATACCTTTGTACGTAGCACGAGGATCCAACTTGATGGGTTCCAGTCACTCCCACTGAAAATTTTCCAAGAAAAGAGTGGGTGCATACAAGCGCTTAAAAACGCGAGTTTAAGTTTACCTAGCTGACTACAGAAGTTGCAGTAGGCTGGCAAAGGGTGCCTAAGGCAATTGGAGCAAAGCAGCAAAGGTATGTGAAGAATATAAAAATAAATGCATTGTACGAGAAGGTGGAGGGTTGTGAAGGTTAGAATTTCGTCTTCCGGCTATCCAAAGCCTGGCATCAGACCACTCAAGACATTAGGGTGATGAGAGCAGTAAAGAACTGCGGTCAGGGCATTCTGAGGAAACCAGCTGAGCCAGTTAAGGGTGGGAAGAATACTTCACCAAGCTCTTGAAAAATTTCTCAAAGACTTTCGCAAAATATCGCAAGGACTTCTATTGGACCAGTTGGTCCACCGATTCCGGGCAGGAAAGACGGTCTCTCCACAGTAGGGAAGAGGGAAGTTTATGAAGCGGGTGGTCAATATGGGATACCATTTGAGGGGAGCATCTCGCTATACCACAGGAACGGCTCGGGTGCATGTCTCGATGATCTACAACGCCATGAACATTATAACCGGACAAATTACAGAGAAGTATCGAGAAAAGCGCAGACCCCGCCGCCCAGCCTTTCTTGATCCGGGGTACGTTCGATCGCCTACAGCAACCGGTCATCTGGAGAAAAAACCCTTAGGAACAGAACAGTGTACCAGAATACCCATTCTCCATGGTCAAAGATATGTACGGCACACAGACGCAGCCCTCCCAGCGCAACGAAGGCAATAGAGGTGAAGGTTCAGGTAGGATGAATTCTGAGCCCGTCCTTTTCACTGATCCTCCATTCCTATGACTCAATGTTGGCCAAAATGTTTCGTGGGTGGACCATTGAAGACCATCCTTCACGCTGATCTTTTCGCTCTAACAAAAAGAGTAGAGACTCCAGGACAAACTGCAAAAATGACGCAGTGTTCCGGTGGAGGATGGGAACCCGCTGATTGTGAAAAGGCCAAATTCCTCAACTCCGTGAACAGCAAATCCCCTTTTCGACCACTAATGATCATGAAGCTTCGACTGGATGTTTGTTTCTATGTAGATGGTAGGGTCATGAAGAACGACTTTTTACAATGGAATTGCAATCAGTCGACGGACAGCATTAGTAGGTACCGTTCATGGCTTCAAAGCAATGCTTGGCTTTGACTGATCAAGTTGCTCAGTTATGACAATTTCGATGTGCCACAGAACAAAGAAAGGAAGGAAGTAAATTCTCAGTGCATGTTAATTATTAAAGGCACGGTCCACGATAAAAATGGCTTGTGAGCTTCCCGCTGGGACAAGTCTGTGGCCCCCTCGCATATCATATATGACGTTGTCTGGTCAAAAAAGGCCTAGATAGGGCGTTGTGAAGGCTCAAATATTGCACCGCATGCATGCGCGGACGAGTTTTAATGGCATTGTAGAGGCTGCATCATTCACTAGGGAACTGGTAGGAAGTTCAAACAACTTGTCATGACCCATAACCACAGTGAAAATCAATTTTGACAGTTTTGGCTTGATGTAGTCAGCTCTTTGCGCAGTTGCAACATTTGAAATCTCGTCCAACTCGTCCAAATACCCCTTTCATGTCATTTCCATGATTCCATGGCAATCTCGTACATCCTTTATTTTCACCACTTTTAGGGACCCTCATTGAGAAATGGTGGAACGACTGAGCTGTCCATCGAGCTATTGTCTTCGTCCTCTCAATGTTCTAGGGCTAAGCCTTGAACTAATTCACCAACCTCTCCCCAACTTTTTTGCTGAGCCTTGATCGCGAATCCCTGCACGGTGCCTGACACCTTAAGCGAGCTTGAGTGTTAACAAATGCAGCTGCACTAAGCCGCTCAAAAATCCTCAGACGTGAAGGAAAATACCACTCTCATGCTCATGTTTATTTTCCAGAGTTCGAACCTCGAGAAAAGGCTGTGTTCAAGGTTTCGATCTAGCTCTCAGTTATCTGGTTTGAATTTACTTTTTTTAGGTCAACTGGTTGACGAGCTTTCATTAGTATGGATTATCAACATATTTCTCGTCGTTTATATTCCTGTCATGAAATGGTTCCCAAAGAGATTCAATGAGAGACTGTAAGTCGTAATCCTTTTCGCGAATCAGTTCATCTCAGATTCGAGGTCTTTTTACGAATTGCTAACTTAAGAATCGTATCTTACTTGGAGCTCAACTTTTCAGAAGAGTCTAGCTTGGACTTCACTGATTGCTTATTATTGAGAACCTGGATTCAGATAATCTTTATACAATCCTGATAAACTTGTTCGCTTTTTTAATCTCAAGCCAGAAGCGAGTAACTTCTCATTTGGTGCCAAAAAATTGTGTGGGCCCAGGCATTTCTGGAAAATACCCTTTGAGTTCAAATTTCAAATCTTCTCTCCAGTGAGAACATTGGCTCATCCGAACATAACCAAAGCTCATCCATTACCCAGAGATGTATTGGGTTGTCCGAAAAGTTCCCGCCGATTTTTGATTCATCTTTGAATGAAAATTCCTAGAAGAAGAAATCCATTGATTGAACAATATATCCTCCATCCTGTTCAGTAAGGATTCGCCATCTTCCTGTAGGTTCCAGTTCCCCTCTTCCATAGAAGGTTCCAGACTTAAAATCGGAAAACCCACTCAGGTGCTTTTTGCATTCCTCCAGCGAATTGAATGATTTTCCCTTAAAAGAATTTTGCAGAAACCCAAATAAGTGGAATTCTGATGGTGCTATGTCTGGACTATATGGGGGATGTGGTAAGACATACCCCCCGAGCTTTAGCAACTTTTGACGAGTGGCCAAAAACAAATGTGTTCTGGAGGTACCCTGTTGGAAGATTACGCCCTCACAATTGCCCACTTCGGGTCGTTTTTGGTCTATCGCTGCCTCCATATTTTCTAGCTAACTATAG